GACGGGGGCCAGCCTCCCCTGTCGGCCACGGCCACGCTGCACCTGGTCTTCGCAGACAGCCTACAGGAGGCTCTGCCAGACCTCAGTGACCGGCCTGAGCCCTCAGACCCCCAGGCCGAGCTGCAGTTTTACCTGGTGCTGGCCTTGGCCTTGATCTCCGTGCTCTTCCTCCTCGGTGTGATTCTAACCATAGCCTTGCGCCTGCGAAGCCCTGATACTGGCGGCTGTTTTGGTTCTGCTCTCTGTTCCAAGTCTGGAGCAGAGATTACCCACAACTACTGCGAAGGAACTTTGCCGTATATCTATAATATGTGTGAACCGGGGAATCAAACTAATCTGGATTTTAATTTTCTCACATCTGTTGATCACTGTCCAGCCACAAAAGATGTTCTCAACAAAGACAGTGTTTCAGTTCCGTCGGATAGTATTTTTACTCCTAGTAATGAAGAAGACAGGAAGACTTTTAAGCAGGTAAGTATTTAAAATGTGTTTTAATATCCCAATATAGTGTTACTTTAAAAAGTCTAGACTCGATCTCTTGATAAAGTTCCCAACACAGATCTAAGTGAAATGTGTATCAGTATCATTCTTAAGGCTAAAATTTACAGTGCTATAATACTTCTATTCAGAGGCATTTTAAGATATATAGAGGTCTCAGATGAAAATATTCTGAAATAAAATACATTAATGATATGGAATGTTAGATTTTTACATTGTGGTATTTAAATTGTTTGTTGTTTACAGAAGAACTGAGGTGGAGGAGAGAGGTGGTGGGTTGGGAAGAGGAAAGAGAGGATTCACCAGAGACAGAGTGGGGAGCAGAGAGACAGGCATATCTACTGAAATACACTCCTGAGGGGAGCAGCAGACTAAATGGAAGTGCCAAGTGCATCAGCTGTGCCAAGTGCATCAGCTCCCTGGCCAGAGATGGAACTAGGTGTGGTGAGCCTTCATGGTGGTGGTGCTGAGACTTAACCCTTAGGCCACCAGAGAGGCCCCACAAAAATATTATTGCTTTTATTTATGCATACAAGAACTGGGTACAGGCCAGAGATGCAGGGGTAGTGAGATGATTTACCAGAGACATAGTGGTGAGCAGAACAGCCAGGATGACCAAATGCCCTCCCCGCTGAGGAGAGCAGTGGGCAAGACAGGGGAAGTCTGCTGTGCCATGTGGGTCACCTCCGGAGCTGGGTATCGAACTGGCACTGAGGCAGCTGCAGCTGGCTTGCAGTGCTGCGCCCTAACCCATTGCACCACCGGGGAGGGCCCCCATTGTGACATTTTAAATGACAACCTTAATGTCATCCAAATATCCTCTTTTTTACTCAATCAAAAGTAAAAAGAATTATAGTCCTGCACCTGCAACTTACTTGGTGATTTTGTTGGGATCCATACTTACAAATTCTGTTTCCTTCAGTGCGTGAAAATTAATAGGAACCAAAACCAGTAGTGTCTGATTTTTTAATTAAGCATGTCTTTAATAACTGCGCCTTCCATAAGTACTCTTGGTAGACCTTCAAGATAGCTTAATGTAATAGTTTACTGTATACAATTTTAAGGTTTACAAATACGTCTGATCCCAGAAGAGGTAAGTGTGGTAAACTTTTTTTTTTTTTTTTTTTTTTTTTTTGCTCTGGTTACACGCATGGCACTTTTCTAGATGTTTCTTCTCTCTGACTTATATCACTTAATAGTCTCTACTTTTATTCATGCTGCACATGGGATGACATTTTTTTTTTTTTTTTTTTTTGGTGGAATGCAAACTTTCAGGTGGATTTTTCTTTCTCATTGCAATAATAAGATTGGGCTCTGGGGGCCGCTGTTCACCAACCAGGGAATGGGAAGCTGCGAGCGTGAGCCCCCCTCCCCTACTTCCACAAAGCAAAGCACAATGAGATGGGTACTCACAGCTCCTGATGTTGGAAACTTAAAGCACTTCCTTCGTTCTGTAATATTTCGGATGCAGTCGGCCCGGAACCTCGTAGACACGTAAGCTGATTCCGAACAAACGGCTCCAAAACCGCGGGATAAAATTTCAGCCATGGCGAATCGGCTATTGCTCCTGGTGCGGAGCGGGTTGGTCTTACTATTCACTTTCCAGGGAACGCTGCGGGGTTCTGGGGCCCAGCAAATTCGGTACTCAGTGCTTGAAGAGACAAACAAAGGCTTCTTCGTGGGCAATATTTCCAAGGACCTGGGGTTGGAGCCCTGGGAGCTGGCCGAGCGCCGGGTTCGCATTGTCTCCAGAGGAAAGACGCAGCTTTTCGACCTGAATCCGCGAAGTGGCAGCTTAATCACTGCGGGCAGGATAGATCGGGAAGAGCTCTGTGACACAGCGTCCTCTTGTTTTTTAAATATGGAGATACTTGTGGAAGATACACTGAAAATTTACGGAGTGGAGGTGGAAATTATGGACATTAACGATAACGCGCCCAGCTTCCGGGAGGAGGAAATAGAAATAAAAGTCAGTGAGCACGCAATGCCAGGGTCGCGATTTCCCTTGCCTAATGCAAGGGACCCAGACGTGGGAGTGAACTCCCTCCAGCGCTATCAGCTCAGCCCTAATAGCTACTTTTCCTTGCAAGTGCGAGGCAGAACCGATGGGGCCAAGAATCCCGAATTAGTGCTGGAGGGGAGCCTGGACCGGGAGAAAGAGGCAACTCACCACCTTCTCCTTACAGCCTCAGATGGAGGAGACCCCGTCCGCCAGGGCACCGTTCTCATTCGTGTAGTGGTCCTCGATGTAAATGACCATAGCCCAAAGTTCACACAGTCTGAATATGGAGTGAGTATTCCTGAGAATGTCAGCTCTGGAACCCAGGTCCTCACGGTAAATGCAACTGACCCAGATGAGGGAATCAATGGGAAAGTAATATATTCTTTCCTGAATTTGGAAAGGAAAGCTTCTGAAATTTTCCAATTGGACTCTCAAACTGGAGAAGTCTCAATTAAGGGTTCTCTGGATTTTGAGAAAACTAAATTATATGAGATGGAAGTTCAAGGCCAAGATGGTGGGGGTCTCTCTACTACTGCTAAGATCTTGATCACAGTTGTGGATGTGAATGATCATGCTCCGGAAATAACTGTCACGTCTTCTACAACCTCAGTGCTGGAAAACTCTCCCCCAGGTACAGTAATCGCTCTTTTAAATGTACAAGATCAAGACTCCGGAGAAAATGGTGAAGTCTCCTGTTTCATTCCTAACAATCTACCTTTTAAATTAGAAAAGACTTATGGAAATTATTACAAGTTGATAACAAGCAGAGTGCTGGACAGGGAGCACATCCAGAGCTACAATATCACGCTGACAGCCACAGATCAGGGAAGTCCACCCCAATCTACAGAAACTCACATCTCACTGAATGTGGCAGATGACAACGACAACCCACCCACTTTTGCACAGTTCACTTATTCTGCTTACATTCCTGAAAATAACCCCAGAGGAGCCTCATTCTTCTCAGTGACTGCTTTTGACAAGGACAGCAAAGAAAATGCCCAGATCACTTATTCCCTGGCGGAGGACACCCTCCAGGGAGTACCTTTATCATCCTATGTCTCCATCAATTCTGATACTGGTGTCCTGTATGCACTTCGCTCTTTCGACTATGAACAGTTCCGGGACATGCAGTTGTGGGTGACAGCCCAGGACAGTGGGGACCCTCCACTCAGCAGCAATGTGTCACTGAGCCTGTTTATTCTGGACCAGAATGACAACACACCTGAGATCCTGTACCCTGCCCTCCCCACAGATGGATCCACAGGTGTGGAGCTGGCACCCCGCTCTGCAGAGCCTGGCTACCTGGTGACCAAGGTGGTGGCGGTGGACAGGGACTCGGGCCAGAACGCCTGGCTGTCCTACCGCCTGCTCAAGGCCAGCGAGCCAGGGCTCTTCTCAGTGGGGCTGCACACGGGCGAGGTGCGCACTGCGCGCGCCCTGCTGGACAGAGATGCGCTCAAGCAGAGCCTGGTGGTGGTGGTGCAGGACCACGGCCAGCCCCCCCTCTCGGCCACGGCCACGCTCACCGTGGCCGTGGCCGACAGCATCCCAGACGTCCTGGCTGACCTGGGCAGCATCAGCACCCCCGCCGACTCTGAGGATTCCGACCTGACCTTGTACCTGGTGGTGGCGGTGGCCGTGGTCTCCTGCGTCTTCCTGGCCTTTGTCATCGTGCTCATGGCGCTCAGGCTGCGGCGCTGGCACATGTCACGCCTGCTCCGGGCTTCAGGAGGCGGGTTGGCAGATCTCCCTGCCTCGCACTTTGTGGGTGTGGACGGGGTGCGGGCTTTCCTGCAGACCTACTCGCATGAGGTCTCCCTCACTGCAGACTCAAGGAAGAGTCATCTTATTTTTCCGCAACCCAACTACGCGGACACGCTCATCAGCCAGGAGAGCTGTGAGAAAAGCGAGCCTCTCCTGATTCAGGAAGGTTCAGGTACCAGTTTAGGCAGATGTGACCCTGAGCTCAATCAGGTGAGATTTATTTTCTGTTCCCAATTACTGGTATCTCTACATGCATGAATCTTTTAAGTGACTTTTTTCCCTGAGCTTTTTATAAAATCTGTTTGGGTGGGGAGGTATTCAGTACATTCATATTTAGTGCAATATGTATGTTTCATTAAGTTGCCATAATTTACCTTTCATCATATTACCATAATTTCTCAGGAAGGTTTTATGGAAGACTTTTTAAAAAAATCCTAGAATATTTTCTTTTGATTTCAAAGGTAGAGTTCTGTTATCATGGTATTATAAGTACGTTGCACATTTAGTATTATTTTTCTATCATCAGTATCTGTCAGTGTAAACTAGTTATGATTCAAATTGTTGATTCACAAACACTTTTTACTCATTGCCCTATTTCAACTTCACATTGCCTCCACTTTATAATCATACCCTATCTTTTTGCTTTCTACTAATGTTCAAATTTGACTCTGTTGGTTCCATAGCACATTTTGCTAGCCTTTTAAAAGTCTATTGATAAACACATAGCCTTTTAAAAGTCTATTGATAAACACATAAGGACACACTTGCACACAAGAACACATTTGTTATGTACACTTTTCTTGGAGGACAAAACAATTATATTTTGATTCCTGATGGTTGTTAATGTTATTCAGTCCTATCAATTACTTCCTCTGTGTCTCATTTATTTATCCTAGCAATACAGACATATTGACTTCCTCTTATCACTAGACTCTTGGGAGAGGAAGTGTATAACATACTTTTCCCCTAAGTTCTAGACACCTTTTCTATTTCTATAATAAGTCATTAGATTATTCTTATAAAATTTAATGGTTAGTTTTTAATTACCTTTTATCCTTTCTCTTGTACTTTAGTGGCTGTGTGTGTTGGAGGTTTACTCACAAAAATAACTTTGACCCAGTGTTTGTCAAAAAAATATTTTCAAATTTGCTAAAGGTTCTCACACTTTTCAAACTTATTCATATGGAAACAGTTTGTAGTCATATGAATGTAAGAGAGGGAATGAATAGTTAAGACCTTATGAGACTGATTAACCTGGTATTCTTTTGGATATTTTTGTTTTCAATATGCTTATGAATCATGGGCTCCTTTTTTTTCCTTTGCAAGCTCATTTTACATTACATATATTAATTCTTATATTTAAAACTGTTATAGGAATTCTGACAGCTACCAAATAACATGCATGCTATCTGAAGCACTGTCCAGCATATTTGATGACAGGAATCATCTCCACAGTCAACTAATTCAGCAGCCTCACACACTTCTAGATATTTGGCCCAAATAATCTGCATACACATGTTCCCTTTCAAGTTTTTCTTTCTCATTTAGGAATTAATCAATAATAAATCTAGTGATTAGTATTTGTATGAAGAGAATATCAACTGTAGGAGAGGGAAGCCCTGGCAACAGATACCTAAATTTGTCTTGAAGGCAAGAAAAAAATTGTTTTGAGCACTTAGGTACAGAATTTCTGTTTATGGAATTTGAAAGGCTAAGGCACTTTACTTGACCTAAAATTAGATAACTAAAAGGATATAACATTTGCGGGAGAGGGAGACTGATTCATATATTTTTGCAACATAGCCTGAACTAGTTAGAGCTGGTAACTGCCATTCAGGGAATAAAAATTAAAAGTTGGTCTTGAAACTTGAAATTAAGATTATTTTAATCCAGAGGTAATGACAAAGTTCTCTTATGGTAATAAATATGGTCTAGTTAAACAAAAGTATAAAAATAAAACATTTTATGCCAATAAATTCATATGGTAACCTACTAGGGTATGCTTTTATAACTGTAAGGGAGGAAGTCCTGACAACAGATACTAAACCTGTGATGAAAATATAAGGCACTCAATACTTTTCATAATCTTTTTTATAAATAACAAGGAAAACTTTATGGCATTGTCTATCCTTCTCCTGAATGACCCCTCTATACCTCTGCTCTCTCCTCCAATTTCCTCTGATAAAAGGAGGAAAATTATCTGCACATCAGAATGAAGATAATACTGGGTGTCACTTCATGTCTTTCGAAATTCCCCCTTACCTTTGGTGAAGCTGTTTTCCCACGTGGTGTTTGTTCTAAGTCTGGACAGAAGGCTTGTCTTGTTCTTCTAATACATTTCCTCTAACTAGAAAAAACAAACTTTTATTATTATTGGGTTAATGGCTCTTTATAGGGTTCCGTATCTAAATAACCTTCTTTGGTAAGAACACTGGAAAGCAGACACATGCAAAACTCAAAACCCATCTTCCTTCTCCATCGGTCCAACATACATGTTGGAATATGGAATTCCATTATTTGCGAAACGGTTGGCTGCAGTTTTCTAAATAGACTCCGAGCGCCGCTGTTGGCCAATGCGCTGCGAGGGCTGAGCCTGGGATCTACTCGGGGATAGTCGGCGCGTTTCGGCCAGGAGCAGCTCTCTGACTTTTCCCTCCGCAAACCTGATTCTGGAGTATGGATGCGGATGCCTTCTAAGGGGAATACTGAGTTTTCTACACAGGGGAAGTACATATTTCAACGCAATTCGTAAAGCATCTCTTCTCAAAGCCCGAAGCCGCTTCCACACAGAGAAAGATGGAAAACAGGGCGAAGCAAATGCGCAGTATCCGGCGGCGGCAAGTACTCTTTTGCTTCCTGCTCTCTTTGTTGTGTGGGGCGCTCTCTGAGCAGATCCCTTACTCTATTCCCGAAGAAATGGCCAGAGGCTCCGTGGTGGGGAACCTCGCTGAGGACTTGGGGCTGCGTGTGCAGGATTTATTGACCCGCAACCTCAGAGTTAGCGCAGACAAACGATACTTTACCGTGAACACGGAGAATGGGGACGTAGTGGTGAGTGACAGAATAGACAGAGAGACGCTCTGCCCCCAAGCCCCTCTGTGTGTGGTGCCCTTAGAGGTGGAAGCTGAAAATCCTCTAAATCTTTTTCATATAAGCGTGATAATAGAAGATATAAATGACAACCCACCTCATTTCCCCCAGAACAGCACTGTTTTACAAGTCAATGAACTTGCCATTCCAGGAACTCGGTTTGGACTGGAATCAGCTGTAGATGCAGATGTAGGGCCTAACTCTCTCCAGGGTTATCACCTCAGCTCCAATGAGCATTTCTCTCTGATGATAAAGGATAACACTGAAGGCAAGAATGCCCCAGAATTAGTGTTGGAGAAGCCCCTGGACAGGGAACAACAGAGCTCCCATTTCCTGGTCCTGACAGCAGTGGATGGGGGAGACCCTGTCCTAACTGGCACTGCTCAAATCAAGATCGAGGTCACTGATGCCAATGATAATGCTCCAGTGTTCAGTCAGGATGTGTACAAAGTTAGTCTTTGGGAGAATGTGCCCCCTGGCACTTTCGTGTTAAAGGTGACAGCCACTGACCAGGATGAGGGTATCAATGCAGAGATCACCTACTCCTTCAAAACATTAAGAGATATCGGAAATACGTTTGTGCTAGACCGTCAAAGTGGAGAAATTAAATCCAAGGGCCCTATAGACTTTGAAATCCGTAGCAGCTATACAATAAGCATAGAAGCCAAGGATGGCGGTGGCATGGCCACTGAGTGTAAAATTATAATAGAGATTTTAGATGAAAATGACAATGCCCCAGAGGTGATTTTCACTTCGGTATCAAGTTCCATAAGGGAAGACACAGGCCCCAAGACAGTAATTGCTCTGTTCAAAACACACGATAAAGATTCTGGAGAAAATGGGGAGGTTACATGCGTCATAAAAGAAAAAGTTCCTTTTAGAATTGAATCCTCCGCAAATAATTACTACAAGCTTGTAACAGATGGGACCCTGGACCGAGAGAAGATTCCAGAGTACAATGTCACGATTATAGCCACTGACAGGGGTAAGCCACCCCACTCTTCTAGTAGAAGTGTCACTCTACATGTCGGCGACGTCAATGACAACGCACCGACTTTCCATCAAGCCTCCTACCTGGCCCTCGTCCCAGAGAACAACCCTCCCGGCGCATCTATCGCCCAAGTCAGCGCCTCCGACCCCGACCTGGGACCCAACGGCCACGTCTCCTACTCCATCGTGGGCAGCGACCTGGGGCCCCAGGCGCTGTCGTCCTACGTGTCCGTGAACGCGCACAGCGGGGTGGTGTTCGCGCAGCGCGCCTTCGACCACGAGCAGCTGCGCACCTTCGAGCTGACGGTCCAGGCCCGCGACCAGGGCGCGCCCGCGCTCAGCGCCAACGCCAGCCTGCGCGTGCTGGTGGGCGACCGCAACGACAACGCGCCCACCGTGCTCTACCCCGCGCTGGGCCCCGACGGCTCCGCGCTCTTCGACACGGTGCCGCGCGCCGCGCAGCCCGGCTACCTGGTCACCAAGGTGGTGGCGGTGGACGCTGACTCTGGACACAATGCCTGGCTGTCCTACCACGTGCTGCAGGCCAGCGAGCCCGGGCTCTTCAGCCTGGGGCTGCGGACCGGCGAGGTGCGCACCGCGCGGGCGCTGGGCGACAGGGACGCGGCCAGACAGCGCCTGCTGGTGGCCGTGCGCGACGGGGGCCAGCCTCCCCTGTCGGCCACGGCCACGCTGCACCTGGTCTTCGCAGACAGCCTGCAGGAGGCTCTGCCAGACCTCGGTGACCGGCCTGAGCCCTCAGACCCCCAGGCCGAGCTGCAGTTTTACCTGGTGCTGGCCTTGGCCTTGATCTCCGTGCTCTTCCTGCTGGCGGTCATTCTGGCCATTGCCCTGCGCCTGAGGTGGTCCTCCAGCCACTCTGCTTGGGGGAGCTGCTTTCAGCCTGGTCTCTGTGTCAAGTCTGGACCGGCGGCTCCCCCCAACTACATGGAAGGGACTTTGCCTTATTCCTACAATCTGTGCGTTGCCCAATCTGGCAAGACGGAGTTTAATTTTCTAAAATGCAGTGAACAGCTGAGTTCAGGACAGGATATACTTTGTGGTGATTCTTCTGGGGCCTTATTTCCACTTTGTAATGCCAGCGAGTCGACTTCCCATCCTGAGACTATAATGCAGGTAAGTTTCATTGAAGTGTGGGCTTCCTTTTCATTATCTCTCCAGTTTCCTATATTTATTTCAAAACATGTTACATTTCAAAATCAGTTGTTTTAGGCATTTTAGACTGCCAGAAAACTATAATTCATTTCTTCAAAGGGAGTGCTGAATTAACAGTAGTTATGTGACAAAATATATTTTTCCTATGGAGTTTGGATTATCACAGTTGTTAGTGTGTTCTTAATTCACAACAAACGCATAGTATCAATTTCTTGTCTGTTTTTTTTAAAGCTAATGATGATCTCATTCTTTATAACACATTGTTTTTTAAGATTGATTTATTTATGCATACTAGAGGTAGGGTTTAGTCCAGAGCTGTGGGATGAGAAGATTCAGCAGAGACAGAAAGGGAGCAGAACAGGCAGATCTACTGAAATACACTAAGGGGAGCAACAGGCATAACAGGACAGGTCTGCTGCACTAGGTAGGTCAGCTCCCTGGTCAGGATCAAACTTGTGCCACAGAGGCTGCAGATAGCTTCATAGTGCTGAGATTTAACCCCTTGTGCCACCAGGGAGGCCCTTTATAACATGTACTTTATATGTCGTTGATGAGAGTAACAAGTTAAACTCTAACTCTGCTGCTTCTACTCATGTGAGTAGAATGTAATTTACAAATGGATTTGGTTTAATTTTCAAGCCAACATTTTTATTATATCCATCTACTCTCATTTCGAGTTTGCCCACTCCCAGTATTTTCTGTTCTTTTTGTTTATTGGGCCAGTAACTCCATTATTAGCTCTCAAGTATTTTGAAATATTTTGAGTTTTTCAGAGATATTATATGTGTGTATGTATAGGCACACATACTACCTCCTGTGCTAGGTGTCATATTCTTGTTGTCAAATAATTTCAAGTGTAAATACTTTCTTACTGGGCATGTTTCACTTTCTCAAAATATCACTACCTTAAGTATGTAATGCTTTTTCTTGACAGTATTACTAAAAAATAGAATAAAATGCATAAGAGAAGATTTTTTTAAAGGACATATTAATGACTGATAATATTCAGTAACATTGGGCAAGGGATTCTTTGAATGCCACTAATTAGGTCAGGTCTATGTGATCTTTTCATGAAGGTATATATAGATTTTTCTTCCAACTTTAAAGATAAGGTTTTACAGTACACCTGCTAAGCATGATCATCCTCAGAATTGAACTGTTTATACTCATGAAAGTACAAGACTAATAATTTTTAAATTTGAATTGATAGACTTCCAAGTTGATAGACCATTCTCAGTAATTGAAATTAGGCTTGTTACCTAAAAAAAGATAAACCTATAGTATTATCTGAATTACTAATTTCCAAAAAAAAAAAATTTCAAAATGTATTATCCAGTAAGTGCAAGTTGGAATGTTTCCATTTTGTTCTAAAAATGTGAATGCATCTTTCACTTTACCTCCCTCCAGGTGTGATTCTGATAATGAAAACAAGGTTTCTCGTGTCTACATTTCCATATTACTGTAAAAATTTGATTTAGAAATGTTAAGTGTCAACAATTGTTAGGGTGGTTCTTCCATTAGGGCAACTTTAAGAATCTTTAAAAAAAAAAAAAAAGAGTTGCTCCAAGTTATTGCTAAGTGAAATTATTCTATGATTTCTCAAAATGGGAAACTTCTAGGGAGAAGGTCTGTAAGATGTATGTGAGAAGTGACCTAGGTGACACAGCAGGTATATGAAAATCTTAAGGTTAAAGTTATTATGTATAGAAACCTCAAAATCATTTAAAACCTCATTGGAAAAGTCAGAATACAGCTACAGCTATGGATAATCTCAAGTATGAAAAAAAATCAGGGAAAAAATTTAAAGGGCACTACAGTTTGCGTTAAAACACTGTAATACAGTGAGCTCCACATTGATCCCTTTTTGAAAAAAAAACGGTAGGTGGAGCTATTTAAAGTATAAACACAAAAAATCCTTCCTGGAGTTCAAGATTATGTAGTTATTGGTTAAGACTCTGAGCGCCGCTGTTCACCAAACACGGAGAGCGAAACCGCGAGATCCCGCTCGGGGTGCACGCGCTTGAAGCACAAAGAACAGACAGAAAGAAGCTAACTATCTCCCGGACCGAGAGGAAACTGAGCAGCGCAGCTCCCGCGCCCCAGAATTCGGATTCCAGGCCGGAACAGCCGATTCTGGCTTCTGTGGTCAAGCAAATAACGAAATAATCCCGGAGGAAAATCACAATGATTATTGTGCTACCGCACCAGTACTGCAAAGGGCTAGTAGTCCTACTGGGATTTCTGGGGATTCTGTGGGAGACTGGCTGCACCCAGATCCACTATTCCATCCCTGAAGAGCTGGAGGAAGGCTCTAGGGTGGGCAACATCGCCAAGGATCTGGGGCTGGAGTCCCAGGAACTAGCGGAGCGCGGAGTCCGCATCGTCTCCAGAGGTAGGACCCAACTTTTCGCTCTAAACTCACGAAGCGGCAGCTTGATCTCTGCAGGCAGGATAGACCGGGAGGAGCTCTGTATGGGGGCTATCAAGTGTCAGTTAGTTCTGGAGATTCTGATGGAGGATGAAGTGAAAATATATGGAGTGGTGGTAGAAGTGAGGGATATTAATGATAATGCCCCTTATTTCCGGGAAGACGAATTAGAAATAAAAGTTAGTGAAAACGCAGCCCCTGGGATGCGGTTCCCTCTTCCCCACGCTTGGGATCCGGATACTGGGAAGAACTCTCTGCAGACCTACGAACTCAGTAGCAATACCCACTTCTCCTTGGACGTGCAGAGCGGCGCGGACAGGAATAAGTACCCGGAATTGGTGTTGGAACGCCCCTTGGACCGCGAGGAAAAGGCCGTTCACCATCTGGTTCTCACGGCCTTGGATGGAGGCGACCCAATCCTCACCGGTACTGCAAGCATCCGCGTCTTGGTCGTTGATGTGAACGACAACGCACCAGCGTTTGCCCAATCCGAGTACAGTGTGAACGTTCCGGAGGATGTGGCCGTGGGCACAGAGTTGCTTGTGGTAAACGCCTCTGACCCTGACGAGGGAGCCAATGCGGAAGTGATGTATTCCTTCCGGTATGTAGACAACAAGGCAGCCCAAATTTTCCAGCTAGACTGTAATTCTGGGGCAATTTCAACAATAGGAGAGCTGAACTACGAGGAATCGAGATTCTATGAAATGGAAGTGCAGGCAGTGGATAATGCAGGATATTCTGCACGAGCAAAAGTCCTGATCACCGTATTGGACGTGAATGACAACGCCCCTGAGGTAGTTGTCACCTCTCTGTCTGGCTCCATTCTGGAGAACTCTCCCAGAGGAACACTGATTGCCCTTTTAAATGTAAATGATCAAGATTCTGGGGAAAATGGACAAGTTACTTGTTTCATCCACGGGAATCTGCCCTTTAAATTAGAAAAGTCTTACGGAAATTACTATAGCTTAGTGACAGACACACTCCTAGACCGAGAACTTGTTCCTAGCTACAACCTCACTGTCACTGCCACTGATAGAGGAAATCCTCCCCTGTCTACAGAAACTCACATCTCACTGAATGTGGCAGACACCAATGACAATCCCCCTGCCTTCTCTCATGCCTCCTACTCTGCCAGTATCACAGAGAACAACCCCAGAGGAGCCTCTATTGTCTCTTTGACTGCCTATGACCCTGACTATGGAGAGAACGCCCAGGTCACTTATTCTCTGGTTGAAGACACCCTCCAGGGAGCACCTCTGTCTTCCTATGTCTCCATCAACTCTGACACCGGAGTCTTACATGCATTGCACTCTTTTGACTATGAGCAGTTCCGTGACCTGCAGTTGACAGTGACAGCCCATGACAGCGGGGACCCACCACTGAGCAGCAATGCGTCACTGAGCCTGTTTGTGCTGGACCAGAATGACAACACACCTGAGATCCTGTACCCTGCACCCCCCACAGACAGTTCCACAGGTGTGGAGCTGGCACCCCGCTCCGCAGAGCCTGGCTACCTGGTGACCAAGGTGGTGGCAGTGGACAGGGACTCGGGCCAGAACGCCTGGCTGTCCTACCGCCTGCTCAAGGCCAGCGAGCCAGGGCTCTTCTCAGTGGGGCTGCACACGGGAGAGGTGCGCACTGCGCGCGCCCTGCTGGACAGAGATGCGCTCAAGCAGAGCCTGGTGGTGGTGGTGCAGGACCACGGCCAGCCCCCACTATCGGCTACAGTCACGCTCACCGTGGCCATGGCAGACAGCATCCCAGATGTCCTGGCTGACCTAAGCAGTCTTGAGTCTCCCACTGAACCCAATGGCACTGGCCTCACACTCTACCTGGTGGTGGCGGTGGCTGCCATCTCCTGCATCTTCTTGGCCTTTATCCTTGTACTGATGGCACTCAGACTCAGGAACTGGCACAGTTCATGTCTGCTCCGGGCTTCAGGAAGCGAGTTGGCTGGGGTGCCTGTGTCTAACTTTGTGGGTGTGGACGGTGTGCAGGCTTTCCTGCGGACCTATTCGCACGAGGTCTCCCTCACTGCAGACTCAAGGAAGAGTCACTTGATCTTCCCTCAGCCCAACTATGCAGATATGCTCATCAACCAGGAAATCAGTGAGAAAAGCAAGCCTCTTTTGCTGTCAGGTGACTCCGTTTTTCCTAAAGATAATCATGAATTAATGCAGGTGAGTCTATATCAAATACTTTTCTGTGAGATTTTAGCAAAGATAAAAAATTATCTGTGGATAATTAGCACATATTCAGAATTTGTGATGCAAATACCATGAAATTTATATGTGTGTGTGTGTATATATATATAGGTTATATATGAAAAGGGAAACAAATGACTAACTTCACTCAAGCCTTATTTGTAACATTTTAAAATACATTTACATAAATATTTCCACCTTATAAAGTACTGTGAATACTCTGTAATTTTAATAATTTAACATAACAGCTATAAATCATTTCTGGCTTTTAATTGGCTTTCTCTATGCCTGCCGGCACCCCCTCCACCCCCCACACTGGATGAAAAGTTTTATGTAGAACATCTGATTCTAATTACATGTTTAGAACACAAATCCTTCTAGAAGGGATAATTCAATAAAAAGTACAAATGGAAGTTTTAATAAATGTTTATAAATAGAGCAGCTTCTAACTATAAATAAAATCACCAACAAATCCATAGAGGGCAGTAATCTTTTCTGGTCATTAGGGATGTTTACATTTAGACTTTTTTTTCAGGGTCCTATTGCATTTCATGGTTTCAGATCAATCATTTGTGAACTTCTAAATATGATCAGTTTATTTATTATGTTCTTAAAACTCTTGAGACAGTATGTTGTCAGAAGGAAAACTGAAGAGATTGTTATTTTTCACCCCCTGTAGATTTGGGGAATATTATGTGGGATTGAATTTGACTCAGGTTAAATATTTCGTTTGCCCATTTTAGCCACTGAAATGATATTAATGATGACTTTATGGACAATTTAGTTAATGAGTTATGTCTTGTGTGTACTTCTGACACTGGTAAATTCGTACTAGTCCATCTTTAGTTGAATTTTCCACGACTTTACACATGGAAAACTCTGAAAATGCACAAATTTTGTTTCCTGTGGTTCTTTTGCTTGTTGTAGAATACTGAAGAGAAAATGAATGCTAAAATATGTCATCCTTGGGAAAGAATTGCTGGAGTCTGTGATACCTGGTTTCTCTCAGTGAATTCTGTAATAGGATATGGAATCACAATGTCTGGTTTATTTTCTTTTTATTCACTTGTTGCTTATCAACTTCCAAAATAATGACAAAGAGGGCTGAAAACCTTTAGGGAATGAACAATAGTGCAAGGCCTCCAAATGAGATAGATACCGCTACTGAAATTGGCACGTCACTTTATGTGTCTTGACAACCCAAGGCAAATTAAGGAAGTATGGTTTATTTCTCTAATTTCTTTAGGAAGTTTTGGTTTTACGTAAAATTGCAAACTCTACATTGATAAAAGTTCCAAATAGAATTGAATAAGTAGAGCCTATACGTAACTTCTGTTGCAGTTCTCATACTATGGTTAACTCAAAATGAAAGAGGTAAAACATGATAGAAATTATTGGAGAGGTCTGCCACGCCATGTGGATCACCTCAGGGGCCAGGGATCAAACTGGCACTGAAGTGGCTGCAGCTAGCTTGCAGTTCTGCACTTTAACCTGCTCCGCCACCAGGGAGGGGCCTTGAATGCATCAATTTATGAGAGTTTTTTGTTTGTTTGTTTTTTATGAGTCATAGAGTACCTGAGCCCAGAACATATGAAACTTATTAAAGGATCAGTTTACTCCATTAGTATTGCTAGGATAATCTTACTGGGAAATGGGCCATCAAAACCTGAAAGCTGTTTGTAATTTTGGACACATGAAAGTTTAAATTAATGACTGCACAAAATATCAATCTTAGCTTTGGGATATTTGTTGATAACTTAGGTCTAGTAGTGATTTTTACTGATTGTTTTTTTGGAGTCAACATTGGGCAATAGGTTTGGATGTTTATATTTCTTCTGGTTCCAGAAATGAAATTACACGAGAAACTTATAGTTTAACATTCTGGTCTATTAAGTGACTGCACACCTAATTCCCCCAATACACAGGAATATAGCAAAGTTTCTCATGTAAGTTCAAAAAAGTAAAACATCTCCACATTAAGTATGCTCAGAGCTTTGTATCTCAAATATACCGCAAGAAAGTTTTAAGAACTTTAAAGCAAACACATAGTTGTGAACAGATGTTGACCAAACTAGTAAGTATATACTAGAAAAGTGACAGATGTACTTTCTGGAAAATGTCATATTTAGAGTTCATTTTTAAGAAAGCATAGCTAATGAAAAATTATCAATAACAGAACAGATATTTTAGAGACATTCTTAAAATACTGATAGGAAAAGACAACTTATGGCAAAGGTAATTGAAAACAATCTTTAACAGAGGCGAGCTTTTCAGATACCAAATGAGTAGAGTTTGATTTAGGAAAATGTGAAGAAATTGTCATCAGATGGACTACAGTCAAAATAATTTTACACATGCAAAAGAAACCAGCATTTCCTGATAATGACTCTGAGAGGTCATAAAAAGATCTATCTATGAGATCACTGAGAACAAGTATAACTTTTTAGTTCATCTTTAGGTTTCTGAAGCTTTTCACACATTATTTTGCAGACATTCTAAATACTCAATGAAAGACTTCTATTCAGTGGTTGGAAAGTCACTTCACAGGTTTTCAAGAAGAAACCATAGTGTAAAACCAATTATTTTACATAGGTGTTCCCTCTGTATCACTCTCCTGAGAAAAGCCAACTTTCTGACCTATCTATGCAAAGCCAAGGGACTGGAGAAGCTTGCTGTATAGGTACTGCTGAATATTCAGCCACTAGTTTATTCCCAGACTGTGTTATATGAAAAAAATAAAGATTCCCTCTCCCCAAAGTAAAGAGACTAAGTCTGAAAATACTTTTAAACATCAAGATAAATAAAAAAAGAAGTCACTGCTTTGACTCTTTTTTTTTTAAGACTTATTTATGCGGCCCTCCCTGGTGGCGCAGCGGGTTAAAGCACAGCACTGAGAAGCTAAAGCCACTTCACATGAGTTCAATTCCTGCCTGCCCCCAAAGTAAAGAGACTAAGTCTGAAAATACTTTTAAACATCAAGATAAATAAAAAAAGAAGTCACTGCTTTTACTCTTTTTTTTTTAAGACTTATTTATTTATGCATACAGAACTGGGGTACAGGCCAGAGGTGCAGGGGCGATGAGAAGATTCACCGGAGACAGAGTGGGGAGCAGAACAGGCAGATCAACTAAGTACACTGCTGAGGGGGAGCAGCAGGCAAGA